TTGGTAAATGTGTTAAAGTGATCAGAAGTGACCAAGGGCAGGAGTTCAACATGTGTGAATTTTATATGGAACATGGGATTGAACATCAGATGTCTTGTATAGAGACACCAAAACAAAATGCACGTGTAGAAAGGAAAAACCAGCACATTTTAAATGTTGCTAGGTCTCTTAGATTTCAGTCAGGACTTCCCTTAACCTATTGGAGTGACTGCATTCTGCATGCCACCTATCTCATAAACATATTGCCTACTCCAGTCCTTGACAACAAGTCTCCATATGAAGTTCTATACCAAACCTCACCTCTGTTGGGTCACTTGCGTGTGTTTGGATGCTTGTGTTATGCAAGCACCTTAGTCAGTGGTAGAACTAAGTTTGCACCTCGTGCAAGACAGTGTGTTTTTACTGGTTTACCAGTTGGGATTAAAGGATATAAGTTGCTTGATTTGCAGACCATGGAGGTTTTTGTTTCCAGAAATGTAGTCTTTTATGAATCAATTCTACCATTTAGAAGCTCATCAGACACACAGGATTTACCTTCCCCTGATGCTGATCTCCCTTCTTCTCCTTTCCCTGTGGTGACTCCTGCTCCACCAATCTTAGTTCCCACTACCTCACCACCTCCTACAGCCTGTGATTCAAGGGGGGATCCATCCAGTAGTTGTTCTGAGGAGGTTTCCTCATCCAATGAGTTTTCACCTGGTATAGAACTGGAACCTGAATTGGAACCACAGGCACCATATGAGGAACCTACTGGTAGACCCACTCGAAAGATTGTCCTCCCTGTTAAGTACCAAGATTGTGTTTTGGATCCTCAATTGCAGTTTGGAGCTTTTGGAGCTGCTGTGACTAGGCATCCTGTCACATTTGATCTAGATCACCTCAATGCAGCAGACAAAGCTTATGCATTGAGTATTCTGACTTGTGTGGAACCTAAAAGCTACAGAGAAGCTATTCAAGTTCTGGAATGGAGGAGAGCAATCAATGAGGAACTTGTAGCATTGGATGCCAATCAGACATGGGAAATAGTACCAGTGCCCCCAGATAAACATGTAGTGGGGAGCAAATGGGTGTTTAAACTCAAACTGAAGCCAGATGGTACAATAGAAAGGTATAAGGCTAGGCTGGTTGCAAAAGGCTTTACTCAAATGTATGGAATAGATTTTCTTGACACTTTTTCACCTGTAGCAAAGATTAATTCAGTAAAAGCCCTATTGGCAATAGCAGCAGTAAAGAATTGGACTCTTGAACAGTTAGATGTCTCCAATGCTTTCTTACATGGAGACTTGACTGAAGAAGTCTATATGGAGATCCCTCAGGGAGTTGAAATACCAGGATCCAGCAATGTAAGGATGGCTTGCAGACTAAAGAAGTCACTGTATGGATTGAAACAAACCTCAAGACAGTGGTTCTCTAAACTGACAGGTTTCTTATTGAGGAATGGGTTCTCACAGTCCAAATCTGATTATTCCTTGTTTACCAAGTGGATTCATGACAGGATTGTGGTGATTTTAGTCTATGTGGATGATATCATAGTGGGAGAAGATGCACAGAAGGATATAGATCAGATTAAAAGATCATTATGTGGTGAATTTAAAGTTAAACTGCTTGGTCCTTTGAAATATTTTCTTGGATTGGAAGTGACAAGAACTGCAGAAGGTTTATCTGTCTGTCAGAGGAAGTATTGTATGGAGCTGCTGAATGACACTGGTTTTCTAGAAGCTAAGGTTTGTTTGTCTCCATCTGATCCTAATGTAAAACTTGCAGCAGGACAAGGAACTAAGATGGAAGACCCTGAAGTGTACAGAAGGCTAGTGGGAAGATTACAGTATATCACAATCACTAGACCTGATCTTACTTTCTCAGTGCAGCAACTTTGCCAATTCCAGAAAGAACCTTACAGTGATCATTTGCAAGCAGCACATAGAGTGCTTAGATATCTTAAGACATCTCCAGGACAAGGGATTTATTTCAGCAGCCAAGCAGAACTGAAACTCACTGGATTCTGTGACTCTGACTGGGCAAGCTGTCCTGACAGCAGGAGATCCACCACAGGGTATTGCACTTTTATTGGAAGATCATTACTCACCTGGAAGTCTAAAAAGCAAACCACGGTTTCCAGATCTTCTTCGGAAGTTGAATATAGAGCTCTTGCTCTAATGGTTTGTGAAATTGAGTGGCTGAGAAGTCTGTTGGCTGAGTTGAGTGTTAAAGTACCATTACCTGTAACAGGTCTGCAATCCACATTGCTGAGAACCCGGTGTTTCATGAAAGGACAAAGCATATCGAGATTGATATGCAAGTCACCAGAGAAAGAATTAAGGATGGATTGATACAGCTGCAACATGTCAGTACAATTAATCAATTGGCTGACATTTTTACTAAAAGTCTTCACAGGGTACGCGTCCAGGAGCTGCTAAGCAAGTTGGGAATCTTGAAGGATGCCACAACTTGAAGGGGGTGTCAACCAAGTGAAGATATCAAGTTGCAGAAGAGTCCTGAAGCAATCTGGATTACGAGGAAGGAGAAGGAGTTTCGATGATGAAACGTTTCAGAAGAAGCTTGTGTTTTATTATATCGAACGCTGTCGTTTTACTTTTGGTTAATAACCGTTGTTAAGAACAGTGTTTATTTTGTAATGGCCAATGGCATTCTGCCACTTGGCTAACTCTAGAGTGATTCTGTTTTATCAGAACACAGTGGTATATAATGGAATCAGGAGGCAACTCTCTAGTTTGAGGGTTTGCCAATTCTCCAAACCTAGAAGGCTTTTACAAACTCAAAAGAGTTTATAAGAAAAGCTATAAAAACGGTTCAAAAGAAGTACCAAATATGTGACAACTGAGAACCCATAATTCCATTTTATCCTTGATGATCGGATTTGCTTCAGCAATTGTATTCTTCCCAGCTTCCTTGAAATCGTAGTCGCAATCGTGGTTCTTTCTGGGTACCTATGAGAATCGCAGAAAGAGCTGCCGCACCTACTCTTAAACCTCGTCAAACAGACCCTCCTATTCGCCGCCTTGACCACCTTGGCTGCCGCCGCATCCAACAACGATGAACCCATCGCCGCTGCTAATGATTTCTCAACTGTAATCACATGCTCTGCCACTGGCGCTGCAGATTTGATGGCGGCGACGATTGATTCAGCTTCCGAAATGGGCCTCTTTGACTTTAAGCTGAGGGTCTTCCCATGGCCGCCTTGGCCGACACCGCTTGTTCCTCGGAGACCTGTATTTTCGTGTACCACTTGGACCAGTGGCTGATGTTGGACGCCAAACCAAAAAATAGCAGCTGTATCTTCGGCTCCGCTGGTGGAAAGCTTGCTTTGTCGTTCTGCTCTAAACCCATCTTCTTCAAAAAATTTCAACGAACCCAACAAAAAAGGTTAAAAGAAAGAGAAACCACAAAAAAGCAAGCAAAACAGGAAAATCTTCCCCCACAATTCCCCTATCTCAAGAAGCCACACAGAGAGAGGAAATTTGCGAGTACTATTATGAGTTGGGTTCAAAGAAAGCTATAAAAGCATAAGCTAGAAAGGGGGTTAGGTATTGGGAAAGGATACTTACGGGGAGGTAGGTGGCTCCATGGATGCTTACGTGCTGAAATGGGTGGCGTTCTGGAGTGCGTTGCAGAGGTGATTGTACCATTGAGTGGCTGGCGAGATTTGGGCGAGGAGTGGGGGTGGAGATTTGCGGAATGGCCGCGAGGACAGAGTCTCAGAGGACAGCTGAGGAAGGCTTATATTTGTGTAAAAGGGCCAAGAAAGGCTTATGTTTCTCATTGTGCTAGACGACAAATAGTGAAACAGTAGCAAAAAGTTGAGGATAATAAAGCATACCCAGCTTTCATGTTCTATATAAGGGTTAATTGTATGGTTGGTCACTGAGATTACAAAAAACGTTCATGTTTGGTCACTGAAAATATTTAAATTCAACCTTGGTCACTCAAATTAGTTAAATGGTTCAAATTTGGTCACTCTCCGTCCAACTCCATTAAATTTGTCTGATGTGGCAGTCAACCTTCAAAGTTGACCGTTAACTCGGTGACGTGGCAATTAAAAATAATAAATAAAATAAATTTTAATCTTCTACCATTTGCAACTCATTTTCACAATAAAGTAAAATAAAAAAAAATAAAAAAATTATTATAATAACACGAAAACAAAACAAAAATGCAGCTTTCCTCCATTTCCCACCTCCTCCTCCTTCTTCTTCTTCCAATTGTTCTCTGCGTTCAACCCTTTCTACCCTACCTAACAGCTCTCACTTCCCCACAAGACATTTCGGCTCTGAAAGCTCTGAAATCGGCCATCTCCCCTGCCTCCATCCCGCCTTGGTCCTGCCTCGCCTCCTGGGACTTCGCCGCGGCCGACCCATGTTCCCTCCCTCGCCGCACCCACTTCGTTTGCGGCGTCGCCGGCTCCCCTGACTCCACCCGGGTCACCCAACTCAACCTCGACCCGGTCAGCTACTCGGGCCCGCTCACCCCGCTCGTCTCCCACCTCACCGCCCTCCTAACCCTCGACCTCGCCGACAACTACTTCTCCGGCCCCATTCCCGCCTCCATCGGTTCAATCGCCTCCCTCCAGTCCCTGACCCTGCGCTCCAACTCCTTCTCCGGCCCGATCCCCGCCGCTGTGACCACCCTCCGCCACCACATCCCTTCCACTGCCTTCGCCTCCTTCAAGAATGAAACCGTCGAAGTTGAGGCGATGATGAGCTTCAAATGTAAGACAATGAGACACTGAAACAAGGGGGTTGGCCTAAACTAAAGTGCAGCTCGTTTCACTAAATGGAAAGTCCAGTCTAGTCCCGGATTTCACAGAACAATCTATCACATGCGCTGTCCCGTGTATGTTGATAGCATTCATCTAAAGTTCAAAAAAGACTTTTTCCTCCTGAAAGAATATGCTAGTTTTTATATTGTAGTATGAGAATCCTGCTTGCAGAAAGAAAGGAAGAAGAAATAAGTACACTGGTAGGAGAGGAAAAAAGACATTTTCAATTGCCATAGCCTTGCTTCTGTCTCATTCGTTCCTTGACGTACGAGAGATGCGCAGCGCAACCCATGATCACAGCTGCTCCGACAAAAAAGGCCACTATCACCCCCAGTTTCTTGGCTGAGAAAGGGAAGCAAGTTACCATTTCCGTGGGTTCTGTTTCTGGACGCTGACAGAATCGAAGAGTTGCAGGATGGATTGAAGACTGCAGAGTTGTAGAAGAGAAGCAGTGAAGAAGAGAAGCTGAGTTGCTGAAGAAGGAGAAATCCAGATTGGGGAAGGATTCGCTGGAGTCACTAAAGGAGAAAAGAAGAACGACGACGTATGAGAAGAAATGGAGTGAACAAGAGAGAACGACAACGTTTTGTTTACTTTTCTTAATAGCCGTTAAGTTACTGTTTAGTTTTAATTTGGACGAATAATGTAAGGACAGCTGGCTTGTTTTGTTTAATTGAATTCCAGGTATAAAAGCTGAAGGGAGACTCAGAGATACCTGAGCTTCTTCTCCAAATCTCATTTCACTTTTCGTTATGGTATCAGAGCTCAACGAGCTCTAGGGTTTTTCCGCCGCCTACGACACAATGTCTGGGTCACAGAATCCACCGAACACGCTGCCGAACAATGGAACAGGTGGTAGTACATCGACGACGACTACAGGAGCAGCAGGGTTTCGGTTTGGGACTTTCAACCAGAACCAACTTCAACAAGAGACTGTGGTATTTGGTAACCCTTATTATCTCAACCCGAATGAAAATATGTCTCAATCCCTTGTTGCTGAGAGTTTCGATGGGACTAATTATGTGATGTGGAGTAGATCAATGCAAGTAGTTCTTAAGACCAAGAACAAACTGGGTTTTATTGATGGGTTAGTACCCATTCCTCCTCGAGATGCAGATCTTTATAGCCTGTGGGATGCTTGCAACACTGTAGTTATTTGTTGGCTACAGAACTCAATGATTAAAGAGATAAGAAGGTCTGTGTTGAACCACACGAATGCTAAGGCATTATGGGATGAGTTGAAGAGGCGTTATGGCCAACCTAATGCACTTAGAATCTTGAACCTGGAAGATGAGATTCAGGCTTGTAAGCAGGGTACAAGATCTATAAGTCAGTATTACACAGCCATCAAAGGGCTCTGGGATGAATATGTTGAGTTTAGTCCTGTTGTTCCATGTGTTTGTGCACCTGGGAATCCTATACCCTGTGCTGCTGTGGCCGCTTTCATCCAGAAGCAGGAGACTGACTACCTTGTTAGGTTCCTAAGAGGACTTAACCCTGAGTATGAAGTGATCAAAACTCAACTTCTGCTGCAGAAGCCACTACCTACAGTGTCAACAGCAGTGGATGATTTGCTGCAACATGAGTAGAAGTTGAAGGCAGATAACTCTGCAGGAGGCAAGAAAGGCCAAAGTCTGGCTTTGGCAATTGGTGGAAATACTGGTAACAGTTCCAGGGATAACAGTTCAAGGGACAACAATGAAGGAAGAGGAAGGAAGTTCTGTCGATTTTGAAAAATGAACAACCATACCATAGAGGACTGCTGGAAGCTGAAAAGGAAACAAGAAATGCAGAGAGATGGCAGTGGTAATGGGGGGTCTTCTTCTAGTTCTGGTTCAAACTCCAGCACTCCTAGGTTTGCTGGTTCTATCTCACAGAACAGTGGAAGTGACAGTGTGTCTGAAGGAAGTGTCATGAATGAGAGTAAGTGATCTACCACACTTGGTTTTACCCCAGAAGAGATGAATAGACTCATGATTTTATTGCAATCTGGTGCTGGCACTCAACCTTCACCACCCACCTCACCATCCATTAACCACCAAGCATATTCAGCCACTCTTTATCCCACTACCTTCCCTTCATTTTTTTTTTTTGATGAAGTACCTTTCCTTCATTTTCAGGTAAACATGTCCTGTCTTCTTCTCAGAACTGTAAAACACAAAACCTAGCCTTATGGATTATAGATACAGGAGCCTCAGATCATATAGCCTGTCATCTATCTCTTTTCTCCAATTATACACCTGTCCAGAATACTTTTGTTTATCTTCCAAATAGCACAAAAGTTAATGTTACATGTATAGGGACAGTCACACTAGATTGTGGATTAAAATTACATGATGTTCTCCTAGTGCCACAATTCTCTTTTAACCTTATTTCTGTTAGCAAACTTACCCTTGATAACCCACATTCCTTACATTTCCATTCTGATAAATGTGAAATCCAGGACCTCTTAAACCAGAAGAGGATTGGTTTAGCCCACACAACTAGAGGCCTCTACCATCTTGCCCTACCTTCAAGACAACCAAAGCCTTCCTCACCACCACTTCTTCAACACCAAGCAGCCACCATCTTCAACTTCATCCCACAAGACCTCAACCTGTGGCACTGGTGACTAGGACACCCTAGCCATGATAGGCAGTCTTTACTTAGCCATGTAATTCCCTCTGTTGCTAGAACCAAGACCACTCACTGTGTTGTGTGTCATTTGTCCAAACAACGTAAATTACCTTTTCCTGTTAGCACCAGCATTGCACCTGAGGCTTTTCATTTGATACACATGGATATTTGGGGACCATTGTCCATAGTTTCTTATGATGGTTACTCGTACTTTTTAACTGTTGTGGATGATTTTACTAGATGTGTGTGGGTGTACCTAATGAAACACAAAAGTGAGGTAAGGGGGTTAATCCAAGGCTTCTGCAATCTGGTTAAGAACCAGTTTCACAAATCTGTTAAAGTTATTAGAACAGATCAAGGTAAAGAGTTTGAGATGTGTGAATTCTTCAGTTCAGCAGGCATAGAGCACCAGGTCTCCTGTGTTGAGACCCCTGAACAGAATGGAAGAGTAGAAAGGAAACATCAGCACATTCTTAATGTTGCTAGATGTTTGAAGTTCCAGTCAGGGTTGCCTTTAACTTATTGGAGTGACTTTATCCTTCATTCTGTTTACTTAATCAACAGATGCCTACCCCTATTCTAAACAACAGAACTCCCTATGAAGTATTACACAAGAAAGCTCCATTTTTGGGCCATTTGAAGGTATTTGGATGTCTCTGTTATGCCAATACCTTGGTTCATGGTAGAACAAAATTTGCTCCTCGAGCAAAGCAGTGTGTATTTATAGGGATTCCTTCTAGTCTCAAAGGTTACAAAGTTCTTGATATCCACACTAAGCAAGTCTTTTTCTCCAGAAATGTTTCATTCTATGAAACTATACTTCCCTTCAAATCTTCTGACCCAACCTCTTCTCCTCCCAGTACACCTAATCCTAGTTCTTCTGATCCAGTCTCAGTTCCATCTCTGCACATCCCTTTTTCCCTTAATCCTGCTCAACCTGCTCCTCAGTTTCATTCATCTACAGATGAAGGGGGGGAACCTGAGCAGGAGTTCTCATCTGTTCCAAGGACAACACCAAGAAGTGAACACTACACCTATTTTGACTCAGATGAGCAGGAACTATATCCTCAAGCTGATCCAGACCCTGATGACCCCAAGATAGAGGATAATAGAAGGCCCTCAAGACACATAAAGCTGCCAACCAGGTATGGTGATTATGAACTGGACTCTTCTCTCAAGTTTGGAGCATTTGGTGGTGCAAATGCTTGCACCAGGTACCCAATCTGTCTGAATGTTAATTCTCTAAGCAAAGAAGACAGATGCTATGCACTGAATGTTATCAATCTAGTGGAGCCTAAATCTTACTATGAGGCAGTGAAATCAGATGTGTGGAACAGGGCTATGAAAGATGAGATGCATGCCTTGGAAGAGAACCAAACATTGGACATAGTTCCATTACCACCAGGAGTGAACGAAATAGGGAATAAGTGGGTTTATAAGATCAAACTGCATCAGGATGGATCACTGGAAAGGAGTAAAGCCAGACTTGTAGCTAAGGGTTATACACAGGTGTATGGAATTGATTTCCTAGATACATACTCACCTGTAGCTAAGATTAATACTGTGAAAACATTCTTAGCAGTTGCAAGTGTGAAGCACTGGGTTCTAGAGCAATTGGATGTATCCAATGCTTTTCTGCATGGAGATTTAGAGGAAGTGGTTACATGAAGTTACCCCTGGGTTTGGAAGTGCCTTCTGGAAGTAATCAGAAGATGACTTGTAGACTGAAAAAGTCACTATATGGCCTCAAGCAGGCATCAAGGTAATGGTTTGCAAAATTGACAGGTTTCCTCTTGAAGTTTGGTTTTTCCCAATCTGCTTCTGACTACTCTCTTTTTACCAAGTGGACTCATGGTAAGATTACTGTTTTATTGGTGTATGTTGATGATATCATATTGGGAGGTGATTCAAGGAAGGACATTGAGCAAGTGAAGGCAGCCTTAAGTAAGGAATTTAATATAAAACTTCTTGGACCTTTGAAGTACTTCCTGGGATTGGAAGTAAACAGAAATGAGAATGGACTGGATGTATGTCAAAGAAATTACTGCATTGACTTGTTAAAAGACACAGGGTATCTGGAATCCAAAGGATGCAAACCTCCAATAGATACCAAAGTAAAACTGTCATCTCAGGGCACTTTACTAGAAGATGCAGAAAGTTACAGAAGATTAGTGGGAAGGCTGCATTATCTAACTATCACTAGACCTGACATAGCCTTTGCTGTTCAGCAGCTATGTCAGTATCAAAAGTCTCCTTGCTCAGAGCATTTGCAAGCTGCTTATAGAGTCCTCAGGTACTTGAAATCATCTCATGATCAGGGTATTCACTTTAGCAATGAGGCTGAGTTGAAATTGACAGGCTACAGCGACTCAGATTGGGCAAGTTGTCCAGATACTAGAAGATCCATCACTGGATATTGCACTATGCTTGGTTCATCCCTGATAACCTGGAAGACAAAGAAACAAACGACTGTCTCAAGATCTTCATCTGAGGCAGAATACAGAGCACTAGCTCATCTTGTCTGTGAAGTGGAATGGCTGAAGAGGTTGCTGACTGAGTTAACAGTGGAGGTTCCTTTGCCTATAACAGTATACTGTGACAACAGATCTGCTATACACATAGCAGAAAACCTTGTTTTCCACGAGAGAACAAAGCACATTGAAATTGATATTCATGTGACAAGGGAAAGGATCAAGACTGGTTTAATTACTTTGAAGTACATCAACACAGCAGAGCAACTGGTTGATTTATTCTCCAAGGGGTTGGATCGATTCAGGCTAAGAGAATTACTTGTCAAGTTGGGGATCAAGTTGATACCACCAACTTGAGGGGGGCTAACAGAATCGAAGAGTTGCAGGATGGATTGAAGACTGCAGAGTTGCAGAAGAGAAGCAGTGAAGAAGAGAAGCTGAGTTGCTGAAGAAGGAGAAATCCAGATTGGGGAAGGATTCGCTGGAGCCACTAAAGGGGAAAAGAAGAACGACGACGTATGAGAAGAAATGGAGTGAACAAGAGAGAACGCCAACGTTTTGTTTACTTTTCTTAATAGTCGTTAAGTTACTGTTTAGTTTTAATTTGGACGAATGATGTAAGGACAACTGGCTTGTTTTGTTTAATTGAATTCCAGCTATAAAAGCTGAAGGGAGACTCAGAGATACCTGAGCTTCTTCTCCAAATCCCATTTCACTTTTCGTTAGACGCTGCAGCCGAAAGAAATATAAGAGCTGGAAAAACAAAAAAAAAGTTAAAAAACTCATTGGGGCATTTTGTCGAACAGATGGCAGGTAGGTGAATCAAATAATAAGGCTACTCACCAGGGATTACTGGAGTAGGGTCGTGAAAATTTCAGATCAAACTTCGGCGGAAAGAAACCACAGCATGTGTAGTAGTGAATAGTGAGTGCAGATCGACCTGCCCTGTGTATGTTGTTTTCGTGTTATTATAATAATAATTTTTTTTAATTTATTGTGAAAATGAGTTGGAAATGGTAGAAGATTAAAATATATTATTTTTATTATTTTTTGATTGCCACATCACCGAGTTAACGGTCAACTTTGAGGGTTGACTGCCACATCAGACAAATTTAACGGAGTTGGACGGAGAGTGACCAAATTTGAACCATATAACTAATTTGAGTGACCAAGGTTGGATTTAAATATTTTCAGTGACCAAACATGAACGTTTTTTGTAATCTCAGTGACCAACCATACAATTAACCCTTTTATATAATATAATATAACAAATTTGATGAATGGAACAACAATTGATCGAAGTTGATGGATCCGATTTTAATGCTATAAAATCCAATGAGTATTACCCTATGTTTGGCCCGGATTTTAGAAGTGATTTTCGGGTTCAAAAGCTGAAGCAGGGGTAAACACCTGTAAAAGCTCGGCTTTTGAAAAGCCGAAAAGCGCTTTTGTATATCATAAAAGCAGAAACTCTGATTTGGAGCTTCTGCGAAAAGCTGTTTTAAAAATACAAGATTATCCTTACCATATTTTAATTTTATTTCAGAAAATATAATTTTCCTTCATTTATATCATTTTAAAAATAAAATCATATTATTTAATATAAAAGAAATCTAACAAGATCCATTTTGACTACTTTTTATTGTTTAGAATTTTTACTTTTATTTTATATTATAAGTCCTTTATAGTCATTTTACACAATCTCTCACATTAAAAAGCACTTCTAATAGTTTTACAGCCAAACACTCAACTGCTTTTTTTGAAAAGTACTTATCTAAAAGCTCTAGTCAGAAGCTGCTTCTGCAAAAGCTACCGCATGGCCAAACTAAGCTTTAGTATGAACAGGTTAAACTCAATTTTGTGTCTTTTGGTGATTAAAAGCCAGCACTACAACATAGTCTTTAATGTGCCAAACAAGGTAAAAGCTTAAAGATCACAAATCAACAAGAAACAATGCTATTGAATTACAACTCTCACTCACAATAAAAGAAGGGAAGAAGGAAAGGAGAAATTGAGAGAGCTGTCATGAAAACAATGAGGGTGGTGGTAGAAGAATATTCAAATTCTTCTTCCTACTAGCCAAGGATCCTCCGTCGCGTCTCAACCTCTTCAGCTCCGGCATGAAGAGCTCCGGTGCACAGCAACTGGGTTGCACTCACAACTATGGTTATCACTTCCAGAGTCCTCTGTTTCAGCAAATGAGAAAGAATGATGTACTGGTCATAATGAGTATGCTTGTACTGCAAGCAAGAACATGACTTTTTGAGGTGGGTTTCCTACTTACCAAGTTTGCATCAGTCCACCCTATGTCAATCTCTTTACACGCCAATCTGCAATAAAATAGACAAACCAAACTCACTCCTCGCAACATCTTCCCAATACAATTTTGGCACTGAAAAAAGCAGCAGCAAAAAGCATACCCCATGGCTAGAAGCGTGAGTGCCAAGGAAGTCAGGGAAGATGAAGCTGCAGCATGGAGATTCGCTGCATTCGAGACCATAACGTTCTGGATTCCAGTTAACGATGTGGTGATGCCCACGATTCCAGCCAGGAGGGAGATCACGACGAAGAATCCGGTAGCCATGTTACCCATGGGGAAGAATATGGGGAAGATCCGAGCTGGGATGGATAGGACAGAAGCTGCCATTTTGGTGCACAAGCAAGAAGAAACATGGTTCAGGATATAATTTATTTCCACGATTTCCAGAACCAAACCTTAGAAGAACCGTGAATTTTTTTACCTGCTTCATGTGACCGGAGAATGGCATGGTTTATGGCCCATGAAGCAATGACAATGATGATGAAGTAGAGAAGCATGTTGAGGATCAAGAGAAGTAAGGATGCAGATCTAGATGCTCCTGAAGCCATGGTGGATTTTTTACTGCGAACTATGAAGGAATGTTCAGAGGAATTCCAAGCTTGGCAATGTGGTTGTGGTTAGATGAAGCACTGAATTTATACTTGGAACCTCGCATTATACAATTGGATTGTCTTGATTCCTAAGGAATGCCTCTAATGCCTTTCTTTCCCCCTTCATTTGGGTTTGCCTCTATGGAAGGGAAGGAATAAATTTTTCAGGACCTGAAAGAGGAGCTAGTTTGGATAATTATATGCAGCAGTTAGGTATCACTTTATCCTGGAAGAATAAGCCTTTTTTCTGCCTGCAGGGGAAGCAAAGGAATAACAGATCCTGGCTTCCTGCAAAAAATGATGCAATCATTTTGGCTTCTCCTGACCCTACAATGATTGCTATTCTCTTGCTGTAGCTATTCCCAAACTTTAGGCAAAAAGAGAGGAGAATCTCCAGAAGATGAAAGGGAGAGGACAACGTTTAAACTTCTCAAAAGGCATGAGGTGATTTCAGGTCTATTCATTGTCCAAGCATCAAGAATCAGAAGTTATTGGAAAGAGAGCAACAATTCATCAGTCTCAGGGCGATTGACCTTCGACAGCGGCAATTCAGGAACATTTATTTACACGGATCTTTTCATGAAGAGCTAGGAGGAAGAAAAATCCGATGCTGCCTTCAGCCTGAACCACTAAATCGAAAGAAATCGTTGTTGACATCCTTAATTGACCTTCTGTTTTTCTTCAACCATTTCTCATCAGACCTTCAAAGCCAGCTTCTGGGCAGCGAGAGCTTCAGCCTCAAGTGTCGGTTGCCATAAGAGTGTAGTCTCAGCCAATAATGAAGTCACAATGTACGGGTCCATGTTTGAGGCTGGGCGACGGTCCTCCAAGTAACCTAGCAGCCATGAATACGCAGAGCTTAGTACATAACTTTAACCATAAGAGAGCTAAAAACATGCACAGAAACCGGAAAAGTTTGCACCTTTGCCTTTCTTCTCAGTGTCGCGTCCCACACGAATTGAGGCACCACGGTTAGCAACTCCCTGCATGTTGGGTTTCCCAAAAACAATCATACACATGATGCAAGAAAGTTGACTTCACATATCAAGTGTAGGGAAGGAAAGAAATGGTAATTTGCCATCCATACCCAAGAAAACTGGTCAATGCTGGCAGTCTCGTGCTTTCCAGTCAGTCGTCTCTCGTTTCCTTCACCGTAAGCACTTATATGGTCCTTATGGCGAAGAGATAGATTCAAGATAGCCTTCTTAATCACTTCAAACCCTCCATCCTCTCTCATGCTCTTTGTGCTGCAACCACATACAACAGCTTTTGTTATATAACTTGTCTCACTTAACCTAAGCATTTGTTTTGATAAAGTAAAGAGAAAATCCAAATGCCTGTAGTTGGTATGGCATCCTGCTCCGTTCCAATCACCCTGCTCGCATCAATAGAAGCTTTGTGTGAGTTTCTTTACTTGCATTGACAGAAGTTTGCTAGAAGAAAACATGAATGTACGTAGTACCTCAATTGGTTTTGGGTCAAGGGACAGCACAACTCCAGCTTGTTCTGTGATTCTCTGTCAGGACCACCAACAAAAAGTTGAAGTACAAAGCTTTGATGTTCATCGTCTGGTAAAAGGACGTCAAATTTTATGAAAAATACCTCAAGAATGTATCTGGAACACCAGATATGATCTGCAGCATCAATGCCAACACTAGGACCAACCTGATACTCCCACTGCAATAGGAACTCGAGAGTAAGAAGGTGACAAAGGAAGACATACCGAGTTTCTAATAAGTGGTTTCAGTTGTTACACAAAACGTGGGGGAAAGACAGAAGACATGAGAGGCAAACCTGGCCAGGCATGACTTCTCCGTTGGTGCCACTAACGTTGATTCCAGCATACAAGCAAGCTTTGTAGTGTGCGTCTGATATATCACGACCAAAGGACTTATCTGCCCCAGCACCACAGTAATAAGGACCCTGAGACAAAGTACAGAGTAGGATCAGTTATTATGGATTTAGTCACATTACATGAATTCAGTAACTTGAATTTTGGGAAGTAGCTGATGAGTAACAATACCTGAGGACCAGGGTAGCCACCAACTGGCCAACCCAAAGGCCATTTCACATTTTGTTGAAGCAATGTGTACTCTTGCTCTATGCCATACCTACAGTTGAAAATTCTTGTCAGTCGGTTACACACCAGATTGAATTTATTGTAATGAGTAGGAATATGAATATATGTCCCTCAACTTAAATCTTTAATGACTTATGTTACTATAGTTTAGATAACTAACACAACAGTAACTCAATATGGCTCCATTAAGTTTTCCGACCAAATTAATGTGCCAACCCACCCATATTGATATAAGAAAATCCTCAGCTAATAAGGGCCTAAGTGGTCTTGTATTATTAATTGGGGTGCGTGTTTGCATGCTAATTTGGCCAACAATGTTACTGGGAGGGACAAAATGGCTGCTACTTTGATTATTTTGAACTTCAGTAACAAGTTAGTTAGTGACCCTGACGTTTAGCGACCATTTCATATAAATATCAGAATGGCATACCATGGAACTTCAGCTGTAACCTTCGGGTCACTGAAGATCTGAGCAGCACGGTAACGCTTGTTGGTCGGAATGGGCTCACCAGCTGGTGTGTAAGCATCACAAATGACCTTTATTGAAGAGAGACGAAAATCAGGCGATGAGCAAATACTGTCGAAGAACTTGCTTGGGTCATACCATTACGACGAGTCGATTTGATAAAAATAAGCACTCACCAAGATATTGTTACCTCCACGGAATGGGTCTTTGAAAATTGCTTGTGGGCTGAATCAAAGGTTAAAGTCAATATCAATCAGAAGTGAAAATAGAGAAAGACACATCAGTTTGATTGTTTAAGCAGAAGATATCTTACTATATAATAACCTCACTGTCTTCTCCCGGTGCCTGCCCGGTACTTGATCCATCATAATTCCACTTGGGAAGCTCAGATGGATGCTCCACAGGCTTCTCAATTGTCTGTTGAATTCAATAGAGCCGTTGATATAAGGAAAAAGAAATAGCCATTACACTTTGGAGAACAAACTAGACTGCCAAATTTCTTTGTTGCTTATGTAACGTACCCTTGCTTTGCTTCGAAGATCAATGCCCGATCCTCCAATCCTGTGGCGCAACAAATGAATGAACGAATGAATAAGAAGAACAATCATGCCATGTGGAAGTTGGTAGCTGAGAAGGGCATACATACCAGATGTACTCAGCAATGATCTTGTCAGTGAATGGGGTGATATCCAAGTTCAAGAGATTGTCTAGCCTATTGATAGTGCTGTTCTCGGCCTTGATTGCAAAGACGCGGAATTTGGAAGCACCTTTTGTAGTTCCCTTCTTCTTCATCACCAAGGAACTCCACATCTTTCCTGTCATGGGATTGACAGGTGCTGCCACCTTGTTCGACAACCTCATCTGCCATTGTGCTGATGGTGCCAAGATATGGGCCATTTTCGCCTACTCCCTAAACCCCTGGAACTCCCAGAACCAAGTAAACAAGCTCGTAATTTGAGAAATCAAAACACTATAGGAACTGAGAAATGAAACGACAAGAACGTCAACTCCCATAACCAAAACATCAATATCAACCACCAGGGCACCAACTCTACTTGTGTTCAATCATTGGTAGATGATGAATAGGCCATAAGAAGGGACATACCAACAGCTCAGTTCCCCATTTGTCAAACAAATCTGGTATCTGGAGACTTATTTCGTTTCCCCTTTGGTTTATTCGTAAATTTGGCTTCTTTTGGGGTTTATAGTATGCTGGAACAAGTTCATCCTAGTAAAGATTAATGGCAGCTGATCATCAAAGCTCTCAAACGATGATTTGGGTGGGTGTGATCTGCTACCCTATCTGATGATGTGGACCAGGGAAAAAGCAATGGTGGACCAGGTCAACCTATGGTCTAAACTTCCTCATAAGAAAGTCCATATCCATATAATTCACTCACCACCAATAAAGGTCTCACCTTTTTATCTGCGCTACACACCACTGAAACATGTGAAACGTCTTTTAACCAAAGCATATAGCATGAATCCCAGAAAAGAAAATGATCGCAGATTCTCTCAGTAGCTTAAACCACATGCTAAAAGGAAATGGGTAGTGCTTCAAGATGGGAATTGGCAATCATCTGAGTAACGGATCCCTAGCAATGCACCCCAAAACTATGGACTCCAAAGCATGGCAAAATCAAAATGCATGTTGCAGAAACCCAAATGCCAGAAAGTGAGCTGCTTTACAGAAGGCTTACCGGCCGGGGGAAATGCCTGCAAATGGGTTGGAGAGCAGACCAAAGAATATGGGAAGTTGCAGAGAACTGAAGAGAAATTAAAGAGGGGTGGAGAAAGTGAGTGAGCTGGAGGGGTTTTGTGTTCAGAGGCTCCTATTAAAAGAGGCCTTTTCTTTCTGGGTTTCTCATCCCAACTAGAAAACAAAAGAGTGTGTTGGCTTTTCCTTAGCAGTTAGGGGTAAGGCACCATGTGTGGATGGCATTTGGATTGTGGTCTCTTTAGTTGCACCAAGAGATCCGTGGACTACAAAAATAACACTTAAAAAAGGATAATGTTTCAATCTTCTTCCCCACTCAAAGTTGATCGATACATTCAATGAGTTAAAGGCCTACATCGTCATAAAGCAGTGGAATTTGTACAAACATGGCGATTTAACTAACAATTCTAACAAACATGGTGATCTTCACCGAACAATAATCTTACCTAACTTTGTCTAGTTTATGTTAGTTAGATAGAACTAATATAATGTTCTCGACTTCAATAAAATTGTTAAATTAGCATCTCAAACACTCGTTGGACTTCATTTTACTATTTTGTTCAATTTTTCTCGATCAAAATTATAACTCGAAGCTATGCCTAACCTATATCCATACTTGATCTATAGATTCAATCGAATTAATTCTTTTCCAGTTAATGATAATTTTTGCGCAATTTATACACATCATAGTATAGTTTAGTGACAATTTAGACATCAACCATGAAATTACCTGTTTGAGCCACGAAACCCTCTTCTCTGCCCGGACGTCTCTCTCCGACGGACGTCGACCTACACACACAAAGAGGAGGGCGCCTCGGCCCGTTAATCCTCCGACGCCCAAGTCAGTCTCAGTTGGAGAGCAAAGTTCTCAAGTAGTGTTTAATGAGAGAGAGTCCAACCTGCATAAATGCTATCAGCTGCCCCTATTTATACTCACCGAACCCGAGGTTGATCTCCGCCACGTCACCATCCTCATTTAATGCCCCCTCTGCGAGACAGCTAACCGCCTTGTCAGGCTCCTGACACATGACAGGCATCCCACAGCTCTGCCAGGCTCCTGACACATGACAGGCGCCCGCAGGCAGTGGTCCACCAGACAGTTGGCCGCCACCTGGCTTTTGGTGTTTTATTCTTAAGGTCCCTTCTCTTGTTTGGGCCCAAGGGCCACTAGAGAATATTGGTTCTTATCTTTTGGGCCTTGCCCCCCAACTCCTTCTTTGGGAGCCCAAGCTCCTAGCTTGCTGGGTAATACCCCCAACAATTGCCCCCCCAGTTAGGTGCTCGTGGCTTCGCCTTCGAGCGCCTGACTGAACCTCTAGCTGTAATTCGACCTTCTCTTAGTCACCGGGCGCTTATCAAACGGCGCGTGCATCGTGTCTTTACTTCCTTCTTGGTCCTACGGGGTGCGTTTGCCTTTCCCCTTCCGAGAGCGGGCGTCGCACCTTTGGTGGTGCTCCTTGCCGTATGCTCTTTCATGTGCTTCTGCGCCTCTTGCCAAATGGGGCGCCTTTCCTAACTACCCCTCCCCTTCGGGCGTTGGATCCTCGCCTGGGCTCACTGCTTCGCGTGTTCTCTTTCCGCGGTCTTTTTTATAGGCGTCCTCTCACGGTGTCGTTCTTGATGTGTGTCCTTATCCCTTATGCCCCCCTCACCCACGCTTTGCTTGCCGGGGAAATTTGGAGAAAAGAAAATTCGAAATTCGAAGTTTGGGAGTTGAGAAATTTCCCCAAAAACGAAAGGGTGGGGGAAGCTCAAGGGTCCGCCCGGGGTCTTGTGGCTCGCGAAAAGACCAAAAGGTGGGGGGAGCGGAAGGGTTCCTTCGGCATGACTGACACGTGTCGTGTAGTGGGCAGGTTTGGTGAGTCTTCGTTTTTCTTTAAATACCCCCTCCCCCTTTGCGATGCTGTCACTTTCTTCCATTTGACCTCTCTCTAGACTTTTGCTCTGACCTCTCTCTAGCTTTCGCTCTGACCTCTGTCCTCTTTCCTGTCAGTTCTTCGCTTCCGACACAGCGCTTTCGTCAAAAATGTCTTCTCCACAACAAGACAAGACCTCTGGCCCCGGCGCCTCGGGCGCGGGCGCCTCTGGCGATGGTGGTGAAACAAGGCGCCCAGTTCAACGTGGTAAGTGGTCCTTTTCCCTTCGTCGATTTCGTTGAGTTTATTCTAGTCACCTAGGGTAGGGGCGTCACTTACCCCTTGTCCGCGTTGCGTCTGGGTCATTTGTTGGTTTAGAGCGGGCGCCTGCTTCCTCATCAGCTGGGCCATCAAGTTCTTCGGCGCCTGGCTTCTTGCCCGCCGATGGGTCGTACAAGATCACCTCGTGGGAGAAGTGCTTCCCTCCTGATCATCTGCCCACCGAGACGTCTCACTTATCGTTCGAGGTGGCCTGGCCAAAGCACACGTCAACAGTCACTTTGGACCGGGTTCATGAATTGGTGACCAGTCTCCAACTTCCCAGAGATTGGTGGTATGCGCCTCCATCGCCTCTGTCCCGGGTAGGCGTCTGTGGCTCGAAGTGGATCGGGATTTATCAGGAATACTTCCGCTTCGGGCTACAGTTTCCCCTGGACTCGATCATGGAGGGAATCCTGACGACCTGCGCCTGCCCCCTCGGGCGCCTATCTCCCTCGGTCATCACGGTTGTCATTCTGTTCAAGTTGAGGTGCCGGGAGCACAACGTGGAGCCCACATTCAACTTGTTCATATATTTCTTCAAGATGGTGCCTCTTGACAATTGTTTGTCCCTTCAGAAACGAAAGAAGCGCCCCTATCATTTTGTGAAGAAATGTCCCAAGTTGAACCGAAGCTGGTTCAACGGTTTTTTCTTCGTGAATGCCTATCGAGACTCCTTCTTTGCGAGTGGAGGCGCCTTTGTTAGGAAATGGGAGTTGGGTCAGGTCGAGGATTTTAACAAGCCGGTGGTTTTGACGGCGTCTGAAAAGGCTGGCGCCCCCTTAATTTGCGAGGGGGAGCACGTTGACTTACGCCCCGCAGATAACCGTCCGCCTATTATTCAGGCTTATTATAACGATGGTGTGTAGGCGTCTAGGTGTTCTATTTATTTGCTTCCTCGTTTGTGTTATGTACTAACTTGTTTTCGTCATGTGCAGGGGCGGACTACTCGAGCATCGCCAAGCTGATGAAGAGTAGGCTGGCGACTATGGCGGCGGAGGCGGCTGCGGCGGCGGCTGCACAACAAGAGGCGCCTGCTCACCAAGAGGCGCCCATCCAACAAGAAGCGCCTGCCACTCAGTCACGGGCGCCTGCGGCTGGCCCCAAGAAGAAGAAGAAGAGGGCGGTGAAGGGTGGCACCGCTCGGGCGCATACGGCGAGCGTGGCCTCGTCCGCTCCGGAGGAAGGCGAAGGGGCGCCTAACTCCGATCCCGCGGAGAAGGAGGTCAACTCCGCGGAAGAAGAAGAAGAGGAGGAGCCTTTGCTCCGAAAGGGGAAGAGGGCAGGTTCCCCCTTAGCCTCGGCCAGCAAGAGGGCCGACAGGGGAAAGAAGAAGGTGGGGGAGGAGGACGCCTTCGACGAGGTGGAGGTGGAGGAGGAGGCGGTGGAGGACGCCCGCCTACATCTAAACGAAGAGGGGCGCTATGTTGGCCCCGACGGGCGTCCACCCATCTTTCGGCCACGGCGTGCCGATGTGGGGCGGGTCAACATGAACTGCTCCCCCTTGGTCGCCGTCGACCGGGGGTGCGCCATGGGCTTGGCGATCGCGGCCGCCAAGTCATGGCAGGTGCCGTCCAAGGTGAACGGGGATCACCTCTTTGCTGAGTTGGCCCAAGTGGGCGCCAAGGTATGCACTTTCTTACTTGCGCTTTTCGGAAGTTAAGGGAATGGTTTGGTATTTTGCACAACTTGCTGAACTTTTTCTAATGGTTGCAGATCCTTCTTTTTGCTGAAAGAGGCGCCCGACGCCTCAATGAGACTAAACGAGAGGCGCTCGAGGCTTCCTCTTCAGCTTCTCAGCTGAAGTTGGACTTGGAGAACGCAACTGCACGCCGTGAGCAGTTTGCGAAAGAATGCGAGGACGCCCAGATGACGGCGACCTTGGAGGTGTCGCGGCTGCAGGGTGCCCTGGACGAGGAGCGCAGGAAGGTGGCCGACCTGCAAGCTGAGAAGGAGGCGTTGGCGCAGGAAGCCGGTGCCCAGGCCAGTGAGATTGACATCCTCAAGGAGGAGAAGAAGAGGCTGCATGACGCCCACAAGGAGACCGAAAAATCCTTGAAGAAGGCCCGGAAAGAAATTTCCGGATTGCGGCAATCTTTGGATAACTTCGAGGAGTCCGAGACTGGGAAGGTCATGTGCGCCAATGCCATTCTGACCGGCATTGAAATCCTGCGGGTGAAGTTGCAGAAGGACCACCCCGACCTTACTTGGGATCTCTCGGAGATGGCTGAGTATGTGATTGGTGGGATGGAGACGCCTCGCGGGACAAGCGGGGCGCCCGAGCCATCTGCTCCTACCCCTCCTTCTCCAAGGGCGCCTAGTGCCGGGGACGCGAATTCGGACGCTGATTAGATTGGCGGTCCTCGGGCTTTAACTTTCCTTTTTGTATTTAACTTTCCTACCTTTTGTATACTTATAATATGAGAACTTATGTTTCTTTGCCACTCGCCTTCAGTGCCAATTTGACTTTCCTTTTATTGCCAATTTGTGTTTTTGGGCGCGAAATGGGGCGCGTTTCTCGTGAGGGCGCAATGTTAGGGCGCTTTTTGCAAAAGGTGGGCGCGGAATGTGGCGCTTTACTATACTTAGTGTTGCCGGGCGCTATTTTGGGGCGCTTTTGTGTCACACGAAATTTCTTAAACTGATCACAGTAAAATTAGGGCGCTATAGAAAGGGCGCTTAAGTAATAATACGGCGCTGTTTTTTCGGGCGCTTTGGTCACAACACAAACATACCTACATACTTGTCTTAACACAAAACAAACACTTTCTTTCTTTCACCTTTCTTAAATCGAGGCGTCGTCTTCTGATGTTGCGCCCGCCAAGTAAGATCGCAGGTTTTGCGCATTCCATGTTCTTTTCACCATACGGCCGTCAATATGTTCTAACTTGAACGTACTGGGTCCCACCATTTCCCGAACTCGGTATGGTCCCTTCCATTTTGGTGCCAGCTTCCCTTCGCGGGCGTCGGGGCGGAAGTCTCGTTTGAGGACGAGGGCGCCTTCTGTGATCCCATGGGCACACATCTTTTTGTTATAGTACCGGGTCACCTGCCTCTTCATTTTTTCTAGGCGGATCGCCGCTACTTCCCTCA